AGCACCTCAGTGCCAACCATCTCAAACCACAGCGGCGGGATGTTCCCGGCAGGTCTTGCCCAGCTGCGATTTCCCGTCCTCCTCCCCTCCCGAAATCTGAGTTGTTCTCTCTGGAATTCATATTTTGGAGGTGCTGGAGCACCTGGAAAAGCATCACCCGGATGAAGGGGCCCGGGGAGGAAAAATGCAGAGCCTGGAATGGGCTCAAAACCCGCCGTTAATGATTAGAAATGTTCTGGCATTTCACGTCCCTCCTCCGCAGCCGCAGCCTGCGGGAGACGGCGGCGCTCGGTGGCTCTGCCAGGACCGGGGGGCCACGGCTGGAGCGGATTTTGGGGACTAATTGAGGGACTAATCCTAATTTTGGGGCTAACTTCCCAGATCCTTGATGGATGAATCACCCCGAAAACCCTTCCCGCCTCGCTCCCCCAGACGCGCTGTCTCCTCTGATCGGAGCGGGCAGCAATGGACCTGCACGGTCTAAGAAAACAGGGAAAAGGATCCCAGAAGAGCTGCCGAGGCTTCTTCTGGAAGCTGGAGCGGGGTTTTCTGGAGCAGAGCTATTCCCCACACGCCCAGCCACGCTGGTGGGAAGAGGTGGCGGTGGAAAAGCGTCTCCAGCAGGGAGAGTAGGGTGCCAACAGCTGGTGGAAGAATTGAGGGATGCTTGGGAGCATGTCCTGGAGGGGGATTTGTGTGCCTGGGTGATGCGAGGTGGGGGTGACCCCCATCAGCCTCCAAGTGTGGGTCACGGTGGGGGGCAGGGGTGGGATGTTCCTGGGATGAGATGGAATGGGGTGGAGTGGGATGGGGAGCAGGATGTCTGGGTGTCCTGGGGAGCTTGGGGTGACAGGGCACAAGGAGTGCCACCACCTGCATCCATCTGGAATGGCCCTGGGGACAGAGATGGAGATGGGATGGGAAAGGGACAGAGCTAAGGATAGGGACAGGGATGAGGGTGATGATGGGGATGAGGAAAGGGATAGGGATGGGGACAGAAATGATGGGTTGAAGCTGGAAATCGGGACAGCGATGGGGATTTATGAGGGGGATGGGGACAAGAATGATGATGGGGACAAGAATGGAGATGGTGACAAGAACCGGGATGGGGACAGGGGAGGGGACAGGAATGGGGATGGAGACAGGGGAGGGGACGAGGAATGGGGATGGAGATCATGACAGGGATGGTGATGGAGATGGGGACAGGCAAAATGGTGGGGATGGAGAAGGTGATGGAGGTGATGAGGATGAGGTCAGGGATGGGGACAGGGCTAGTGGCAGCAGTGGTGACAGTGACAGGAACAGTGACAGTGATGTCAGTGGGACAGGGATGAGATGATGGCAAAGAGGAAGGTCAGTGCCAGCAGGCCCCCTAGAACGACCCCAGGGTGAGCAAACCCTCCCTGGGTGCCCCGGCGGGGCTGGGCTGTGTGGGTGGGCCGGGGGTGCTGGTGCCTGTCTGGGGGGGCCACACTGTGTTTTGGGGG